CTCACTTGCTGCGAGCAAAGCTGTAAAGCCACTATCTGATGCAGCATCTTTGTCTGCTCCTGAAAGGAGGAACCAGCTCACCAAAGGTAAATAGCCATCTTGACTTGCCCAGCGCAATAACGAATTCAGATTATGTCCTGCTTTGAACCACTCTACCAGCTGTAGCATCACTTCGACCAAACTTGAAGTGGTCAAAGGTGTGTTGCCATCTTCGGTTGAAAGACCCTTGTCAGCGATTGCCGCCAGTAGGAGTCGCACCACCTGTGCGTGGCCAGTGTCGCTGGCCAAGTGCAAGGTTGTTGAGCCATCTTGAGACGCACCATCCTTCTTAGCTTCGGCCTGCAGCAACTCCCGCACCACATCTGCATGGCAATGGTGAATTGCAAAGACCAAAGCTGTGAGCAACTCTGTTACCACTTCCAAGTGCACTTTCCAACTTGGTGCGGCCAAATCTATCTTGTCCTCTTTGGTTGCAAGATCCTTGTTAGCTCCTGCCTCTAGCAGGAGTCGCACCACTTCTGCATGGCCAGTGTCGCTGGCCAAGTGCAAAGCTGTTGAGCCATTTTGAGACACAGCATCCTTCTTAGCTCCGGCCTGCAGCAACTCCTGCACCACATCTGCGTGGGAATGGAGACTTGCCAAGTGCAAAGCTGTGAATCCAGCATCCTGTTCTGCGACGTCCTTGTCAGCTCCTGCCTCCAGCAACTCTCGCACCACTTCCAAGTGCCCCTCCTCACTTGCTGCAAGCAAAGCTGTGAAGCCACTATCAGATGCAGCGTCTTTGTCAGCTCCTGCAAGCAGCAAGTCTTTTACCACTTCTAAATGGCCATCCTGACTTGCCCAGAACAAGGCTGTTGACCCATCTTCCCAAGCAGCATTCTTGTCGGCTCCTGCCTGCAGCAACTCTCGTACCACTTCCAAGTGCCCTCTCCAACTTGCTGCCTGCAAAGCTGTGTTGCCATCTTCGGCTGCAAGATCCTTATCAGCTCCTGCCTCCAGTAGGACTCGCACTATTTCCAACTGGCCGTTTTCAGCTGCTACATGGATGGCTGCTTGGTCTGCTTCTGGATCTAGCACGTTGGGGTTCTGTGGCAATTGAAGAAAGGATTCGACTTTGGCCAGCGGGCCGACCCCACACGCGGAAATGAATGCTTGTGTCTTTTCATCTCCAGCATCTTGAAAATCTAATATCACGACCTGCAGCTCTGACAATGCGGTCAAAGAAGACTCATCCTGCAACTCAATCTGCTCATGGAAGAGCCGCTGTCGAAACCTGGAAGCTCCAAGCACAGCTGCCAAGTGATCTTTCAGTACCCTGCATGGTTTGTCGCTTTGGACCATCGGGCCTAACTCTTCTGAAGAGATGTCAGCAGCTACAAGGCCTGAAAGGAAGCGAATTCGCAGCATTTTTGTGACATGCAAAACCGCGAGTCAGCTGTTGTGACCCTGCCAAGAGGTCCTGAGCCACAGCAACACCAGGATAACACATGCAGTCGATGCGCTCCAAACACATGCAAAAAGCTTTTCAAAGGCAATTTCAAGTAAGTCTATGGAACTGAATGCAAAATCCTGTTCACTGGACCTCCAAATCCATCCACCCCAGTCCCACCACTGGAATCTTCACCGGTCATGCCATCTTCCCATCTGTCACGAACTGTGGTCTTCCCCCCGTGTCACGCCTGGTGTTCTCATCCACCAGTCCCGCTTGCATCAGCAACGCTGAAGCCTGGACGTCCACCGGTTGCCGACTCGGAGGGAGCGGTGAAGCGGCCGCCAGACATGGCTTTCCATGCAGAGCGTTTGGGGTCCTGGGTGCTGGGCACGATGTGTACGGTTCAGACTCCCAAAGATGAGAACATGGGACTGCCTCTCAAGAATTGAGTTGAGTGTCATGGGAGATCACACCCATATGAAGTGATCAAGACTACCTCAAGGAGTGTTGAGGGCTGTTCAATCCCTCCCTGAGAAATTTGGATGCTGCCATGTGCAGCCTTTCAAGCACTGGCCCAGGAAAAAACTTGGTGACCTGATCGAAATGGAAATCCACCAAACAAGTTTTGGCAAAGCTGCTGCGAGCTTTGGAGGATATCTAGCATGTTCTATCGTTTTGCCCTGTAAACACGTGTCATCCGCCTCGAGCTGGGTCACACCGAAGCCGTCGCCCAGCTCGCGGTAGAGCGCCACGAGGCTGCGATAGTTGCTGAGCACCAGCCTCAGTGGAATAATATGTTGAGATCTGTGAAATTCCCCAAGTGAGGTCGTGAAAGTGAGATCTGTGAAGCACTGTGAAGCACTGTGAAGCACTGTGAAGCACGGAAAGTCACGTAAGTCTGTTCAGGATCTTTAAACAGAGATATTTTGAGGCACCGAGCAATGCACATCTACCAAAGATGGGGGCTTCCAATGCAAATGTTTTTTGGTCTTAAGCTACAAGCTGCTGGGAACGCCGTTCTAGAGACTGAGCTGAAGATGAGACTGTTGTTCCTATGTCTCCGCAGGATTGGCAGAATCTATCTACTGTATCTATCATATCTATATATAGTCTATATCTATATTATAAATTCAGCAAACATGAGGGGAATCCCACCTCTGAGTGCAAAGAGGCTTAGGTGTGTGGAATTTGTTGGTGAGTCATGGAATCAAACTACCCCAAGTTGCGCCTGGGTGTCTGAGTTGCAGCCTCATCTGTCCAAAATTCCGCCTGCGATTTGGTGGTGAGAAACCATCACTTAAGTCTCATTTGCTACAGAAGCTGCCAAAAAGGGTGTGAACCTGAACCCCCCGTAGCAGTAGCCTCTGATTATCCGCTCTCCTTGTCATTCAGGGCATAATGAGTTTTCCCTTTTCTCCCACCATTAAGGCTACTTGTTTGGACATAAAACTATTGCATATGATCGCCATCTTCTGAGATCAGCACTGCACCCCAGTTTGATGGATCTCACAATGTCTCAGTTTCATGTTCATCGGATCCAGTTCTCAGCCGTACGTTTTTTTTGTTGCCTCCGGCCTGTGGCTGGATACCCCGAGCTGGGCTTAGGTTCCCCAAAAGAGCTGGCACAAGATCCATGGCCCAAAGCAAAGCTCCTTGGATTGTCCGTCCAACCAGGCCAAAATAGAAAAGACCTTCCCCCCAAAGAGGGTTCACCCATGGAACAAAGAGGGTTCACCCATGGGTTCACCCATGGTTAGTACATAAAGATCATCCTAAAGTCCTAAACAAAAGCACTTCTCGCTTTTGATCTCTGCAAGTCAAGATGCTCTTCGGTGTGTTTCTGGTCGATCTCGCTGCATTTTCCGACCTGACCAACTAAGACGCGATGAACGCGTTCAAAGCCTTCAATATTAGACAAACATACAAAAAGACAACTTCGGCCCTGAGCCCAGTGTGAAAGGGAGCTAGCACTTGTTTCATCCAACATAGCCAAAGGAACTTGATCCAGGTCCTTCTCTTCATGGGTTGCGTATGTGGGCAGACTTCGTGGGATTGAACAACTTGGGTGGGCACCTCAATCTGCCTTTTTTGGTAGACTTTGGATTGACTATTGATTACAGCAATAAAACCTTGCCACATTTGGAATGTAGATCATATGGGGTCTTATGAATCAATAGTCTAGATTAAACATGTTTCGATTTAAAATGTAATGATAATGATACCTGGACTTTGTTGTTAGTCCGCTCGAACATGACTTGCCAGGTCAGCACTCCTTTAACAAGAACAGGCGACTGGCCGGCCACTGGCCTTTCTAGTGAAAGCAAGCGACGAGAGGATGTGAACTGCTGAACCTAAACATCCCTCCTATTCACATTTACATTCGCTCCAAATGAACCCTGAACTTTTTTGAAAGGTGATTTGCTATGACACATGGGGGATTCTGGCTTTGATGATCTTATTGCAAGGCACTCCCATCAACTTCCTTACACTGAATTTGTCAAAACATGTTGATGACATGCGGAAAATAGTATAACTCGTACAATAGCCCACAAATGCCATGTCTACCCAATACTCGTGCGGATGCCATAACCAACAATGGAGGGATATTCTGTTTCCTGTGACAATTTCTTCATGCGATATACCTGGCACAAGAACCAACAAATATCATTGAGAGAACGCTTCTCATTTGCAGTGCAAACACACTTGTCACAGATAGGTCATAGCCTCTCAATCATGCATTGAAAAACATCCTGACAAACCTAGGCGTCAACACTGCATGAAGGTCTTGCGCTTTGCCGCACATACCACTCATGCAAGCTTACATTCTGGAAATAACATAGCCTCCAATAGACAATTTGAAGAACAATATGTTGCCTGATGTGTGGTGCAACATGCTCCTTTTCACACTTTCATTGGACACCATCTGGCTCCATCTTCAAGTCAACCTCCTCCCAAAATTTGCAGCACCGATCGAAATGCCAGGGCAACTGAACGGTTCAAAGCACAGGCCAGCCATTAGTACTAGTCAAGGGTAGATAGCACGACAAGAGATAAGCACGCAATAGGCAATTTACGGGCCTTGTGAGACAAAAGGGTTGGTTCCATAATGTTCTATGGGGTTTGTCTGTCAGTTGTTTCTTCATATTCATTATATCAAACGACTTATTAAAACACATATCTAGACATATCACATATTAATTATATAATCAATTAATTACACTAGCCCGTCTGTGCCATCTCTAAACCTTTCAAACCCATGGGTTCGGTTCAGGTCACCCGCTCGGTCGACCGGTCGTCGCGGCCACCCACGAGGAAACCGAGCGACGATGCGGGCCACTTTGGCCCGTGACCAATCCAAGAGGAAGCACTCCTGTTTGACGGGTGCCACCGGTGGAATGGGATGGAAAGGGACAAGCAAGGTGGGGTGCCACCTCTGAGAGACTTGGGAACTCGTCTTGATCTGTTGAGTGAGTGCGACCTGGTGCGAAGAGCTCTACAGGAGTTTCAAGTGAGTGAACCCTCACGAGTGCAGCCAAACATGGAATGCACCGGATGCAGCCGAACAAGGCTGAAGGCACAGGGTATCTCAAATGGATGTTGACCATCTCAAGACAGAGATCAGTTACAGAACCAATACTTTGGGATCTTCTTCCCGTGCTTGGAACTTGGGGATGGGACGGGCAGATTCCCTCACCAAAATAACAAGCCAAGCAATACAAAACAGTTCCCATGATAAACCGGTGTAACATGTTCAATTATCACGATATGGAAGGCTACACACTCTACTGGGCACTCAAATCCGCTTTCCTGGTGGGGGTTGTCCCTGGACTGCCCTGCATCGTGCCTTTCTTGTTGTCGATTGATTGCACCCGTTTCTCTCAGTGAGAGGAGACATAAGCCGCCCATTAAATATGCTCGGGTTTAGGGGCCTGAAAACCCTGATCCCCATTGAATTCTCACTCCCCTGAGTGTGTGTGTGTGTGTCCTCGAGCTTTTCGTCATCGCTTTGCCAATCCGCGTAGAAGGGAACCCCTCTGGGGACTTTCGTCTTCATGCCTTGGCAAGCAGCGTTCGTTCGTGTTTCGTGCTGGTCAACGAGTCAATGCCGTGGGTGGAGCATGCAGTCTACCCTACAATCGCTGCCTTTTGTGGTAACGCTTTCTGGCTCAAGTTTGGGAATGCTGGGAATCCCGTCTGGCTGGATTTGCAAAGCTCGGGTGGGCTGTAGTCAGTAGTCCATTTTGACTCATGTTCATGCGTTTTTCAACATCTCTGTGCCCAGCCTCATTCTTTGGCATTTTGACTTCATAGCACTTCATGCTTCAGCTGAAACACATCGCCACCCAAACCCCAATGAAAACACTTGACTACACTTGACTGGTAGGATGCTCAAAGCGTTAAGCCTTCGCTCGTGTCGTTGTCCCAACTTGTCCCGACGTCATTGGTCCCGAGCGAAACTCCCGCTCGGTGATGCGGGGCATTTGTACCTGTGGAGACCGGGACAAAACGCATGAGACGGGCCGTGAAACGGGCGGATGTTACTGATGATATGGGATGTGACTTCAGATATCTTCAGATCAGCTATGCCCTGTTAACAGTGGATGATGGTGAATAAAGACCAATGTTTAGGTGTATCCCATGCCCTGCAACAGTGGATAATGGTGAGTGAAACCTTTCTCAAAAATAGTGATAATCTTTTGCCAACTGTTGGTAGTGGGACACGCCCTATATCATAGAGCTACACTCCCTGAATCTGGAAGACCCTTTTCCTCTGACTGTGGGGTCCTGGTCAGCTTCCATGACTGTTGAAGGGAGGGTATGTCTGGCCAGGGGCTCAGAGAGACACATCTAGGAAACCTTCCAATATATAGTATATGATATAACATTACATATATAATGTTGAATCCAAATTAGTAAAATGGGACGGAATGAAGTTTTCGCCAAATTATTCACACACTCTGAGTAGTTAAACGCTTTTTCAGCCAGGGCGTTTTTGCTTTTCTATTGTTCTGCTATTGCTCACCCTTTTAACATGCTTACTTGACTCTCCTGAGGTTTGCTTGATTCACGGAATTCTGCCCTGAACACCGTTTTCAAAAACGCTTACAGTAATAAAACTCAACGATTTCATTGCTCCAAGCAATTTTTCAAGGGGGTAGTACACCAGCCCAGGGTAAGTGAATAATATCTAATTGTTTAGGGGGTGAAATTAATAAGCAAACTGGGAGCCAAAAGGGAAAAATATAACTTTGTTATTGTTCTGCTATTGCTGCCCTTTGAAATCCTTACTTAACTCTTCTGGAGGTTTAACTCGTTTAACCATTACTATTACATACTATTACTATTACCTATTACTACTACTACTACCAGTACCACTACCACTACCACTACCACTACGAGGACGAAGACGACGAGGACGACGACGACGACAACGACGACCACTTGTTTTTGTGGCGGTGCTACTCTTCAGACCCCTGGATTGTTTGCTAGGGGGGACCCGTTATGCTAATTAAGATACCAGAAATGTCTTGAGCACATCAAAAAGCAACCGTTTTCAGCAGCAGCAGAACTTGGGTGATGGCAGCAGCATGCAGCAGCTGTTCAAGCTGCCAGTGGTGCCGCGCGCGGGCCATGCCACGCCAAACACCAGAAGCCATCCAACGTCAGGTTCCGTTTCCAGTTGCCAGATGTTGCCACATGTTGCCACATGTTGCCACATGTCATGAAACCTTTACGCATCCAGCCGGTGTCCGGACTCCAGTCCGATCGTCCAGTGCTCACGGGCCCTCCGGGTCCGTCGAGCAGGACGCTCCGCGAGGAAGGGAGGGGGCCACGCGTGGCCGGCCTGGCGGCGTTGGGGGGTTTCGAAGGGGGCTTTGGTTGATGCTTTCGAAAGGATGGTTTCCTAGTGGAAAAAACACCAGAGGCCTTGGCTGTGGAAAGGAAAGGGTGTGGCACTTTCATGTGCAAACTGAGCACTTTTGGCACTTGCCTTGGGTACTGTGGCTGACCTTGGGTGTACTGGTGAAAGCTGAGGAACCTGGCTCTACTATAGGTCATCATTATGTCTTTTTTTGGGGGGGTGAGAATTATGAGATCTTCTGGCCCAGGCTGTTGTATACGGGCTATACCAGGTTACAGTACTGGTTTCTTCCCGTTTACCAAGGTGGGATTCGAGTGATGTGGTTTCTCGGCCAATCTTCTGGTTCTCAGCGCAAATCATCGACCGGTCCGGTGGATCCAACGGAGGGATCCTCGAAAAAAGACAGGCTGACTGAAGCTGGACAGTGAGACTGGCATGTCGAAACACTCCATGGGACTGGCATGTCGAAACACTCTGGCATAGGGCATAGGGCATATAGGGCATAGGACAAGGTGCCCCCCCTTGGCCCCTTGGGGTCGCAAAGATAAGAGTGATTTGTAGGCGATGTGGGTCCGTCCGTGTCCCGTGTCGGAGTGATGGTTTGGAGCGTCGCGTCGCGTCGGAGTGGTGGTGCAAGAACTTTGGTGAAGCGTCTTCGGTGACGAGCAGCAATCCTGTAAACCATCTGTTGCAAATTGCAGTGTATAATAACAAATAGATTTAGAAACAACAGAACATATTAGGACAAACATGTATATAAATACTATACAGAAATTACTAAGCTCGATTTCTTTCCAGCACCTATAAGAGACCCTTGTTTTTGAAGGATCAAGCATCCAAAACATGTCCTATGAAAGCAGTGGTCATTGCAGCACTTCAGAGGTGCACACAGAACAGCTACGCCTATTCTTACACATATTGGCTGTCCTCATGGACCAGTACTTGTAGAGCATTAAAAAAACTGCTATCATTGACCAAAGCCGCACAATCCTGCTTGAATTTGATCGAAGCCAATCTAAGCCCCATGTCAGGTACCTCAATGACCTCAGTGGATCTGGTACTAGTGAGGTTTTAGTTTCTGGCTTCTTAGTCTTCAACATTCTTCAACTTATGAGGGGAGTTTCTCCTGTCAGCTGGGCGACATCCTGTCTTCCAAACGAGTCAGCGCCTGGAAAGCACATTGGCCTCCTGCATCCTGGGAACCGAGAAACAAGCACTCCAAAGGTGGAAACACACAACAGACTCAGCACCGACAGATCGATTGATTTCTCCAAAAAGGACCCAAAAGCCTGATTTCTGGTCTGGTGGAGTTTTCTCTGAGGAAGTTCATCAAAGGAATCCCTAGTCTCCAACTTGTTTGGAAGTAAGATTCAGCATTTAAAACGTGTTTGGCGTCGTTGAAACTGCTGCATCCCTCGACTTTCATAGGACAACAATGAATTTCGACTTTGGAAGCGTTCTGAAGTTCCAAAAGGAGTGTTGTTGCATTAATTATACTTGTGTGTGTGTGCGTGTCTGCAATCAACAGTATCACGCTTCCAAGTCTTCCACCAAAAGTTCCTCAAGCTTCTTACAATCAGCAACATTATCAGGTTCGAATCAAGGCAAACCTGGATTGTCGGCCTTCTGCTCGGCAAAAGGCATCTTGCGGTTTCCGCCAGGTGGCATTTTGATGCATTTTGTTTCCAAACACGCCTGGCGAGTACTGGAGTACCACCACTGTTCAAGTTCCACTGCAAATCGTATATGATCCATTTTGGGAATTCTTCTCTACCGACCATTTGTATACCAGGAGATCTCCAAAGCTTTGTGGGAATCTCATGGCTCGTGGGTGAATGATCGGGAAGTCGAAAAAGGCCATGTCTTGGGCGAGAGCAAAGTTCTTTTTGGTCCCCCTATGCCACCTATGCTTCCATGGGTAAAGAAAGGCACATGTTTTCACATGAAGTCTTACATGCATATACTGCATCAGAAGAGTCCCTGAAAGAAGAGACTTATTTGTTCAGTGTCTATATAGTATCTATGCTGCAAGGATGTCCTTTCATCATGGTGGGCTCACACCACAAATGTCTGCGGCTCCTTAAGATCAAGCGGTGCTCATAGTTGCCTCCCTTCTTCACCACCTCCTTGGAAGCGATGTCCTGCACGTGCCGTCCATCAAGTCGATGAAGTCCAGTTACGCTCGTCAAGTCCACTGTTCAAGTCACCGAAGATTCATGCCCAGCACAATCCATGGGACAGCTATGTGTATATATATATATGTATGACTGGTGGTTTTGGGTGGTGAATGTAGGTCATATTCAGTCATTTACTTGCAAGCATGGATCGTTTGGGCTCGGGGATCCGCCGTGAGTGAACTGAACCTCTTTGCTCACGTGGCCCGCAGCAAAGGCCCATACAGTGAGTGAATAGAACCCAGAATAGCCAGAGAATAGCAGCCAAGTACATCCTGATCGAGCACAAACCGCCTTCCGCTTTCTTCGGCGCTTCGGCGCTATAGTCCATGTCAAAGAATAGCAGGTCAACATGACAGACCGTGCATGTTCGGAAGGACGGATGCATGACAGACCGTGCACCAAAAGTCGATCAAAAGAACCAGGGTTGGAAGACCCAACACCGGGGCGTTTGCAGTATCGTTTGGATGGATCGACACAACACACGATCGGTCAGAACCGAAAGTTAAAGGGCAAACATAAGGTTGTTCTACAGGGTGCAAAAGCATCGTTGTGTCCCTTGCATCGGTTTGCTGTTTTGTCCCCAAATCAGAACATGTCCTTAACTTGAGGAGCGACACTCTCGAGGTGACCTGTTGGAAGATTCGCAAGCTCGTGGTCTTCAAGTTGTTGTTAGCTATGCCTGTACTGCCTTCAACAAATCCATACTGTCATGCCCCGCTCGGCTCCAATCTCGCCTTCTCCAAAGGCTCTAAGATCGGCAGTTCCTGCGTCGACTGAGTCGACACACGCGGGATGCGAAGGACTGCTTCCAGTCTGCCAATGTGCCCATAAGAATAGCTGAGCAAATTAAATCAACTCATTGATTGAGAGTTCCCAGTTTGGGAATCAAACGACGAACCGATTGATGCTGTTGAAATAACAACATGGCTAGATTTTGCTGATCAGGTAAACAGTATATCAGGAACCGATGGTGTTGTCAAAGCAGCACCAAAACACACAATACACAATGCATAGTAAACGATCGCTTTTGTCTGGCTCCATTCCGTTGAGTTTCGGGGTGGTGTCACTTTCAGCTACACCTGCTTGCTCTTGAGCAATCCCCCTAAGACCACAGTAGTTGCTGACAAAAGCGGTATGTTTTACTTAAGTGGGCCTACTGGATAGACAAAAAACATGGTGGATTACGCCAACGATGACCTGTTACAAGAGGGGTTCCCATAGTAGAGACTGGGCCCATTCCCAATGGGGCAAAGGTTCCTTCCAACTTTTGCTGGGGATGTCAAAATGTGCTCATACGCCTCTCAATGCACTTCTAGCGGCACACAGGCATCGGACACCATACCATCAATCACCAACTCCCACAACATCTCACGCACTGATTACTTGTGCGTATGTATATCTCTACATTGGCCCACGACCCCGAATGCTGGATACTATTGAAAAAACGCTCGAAGGCTTCCTGGTAAAATGAAGCTTACATGAGCGTACATGCAACCAACAACAACGTGACCCACCGACCAACCAACCAACTCCCACAATAAGGGTAACTTGGCAGCAATGTTGATCAATAATGTCTACTCCTACCTGCCCCTCATCTTCATCTACTAGGGTGGAGGCCATCACTACTAGGGTGGAGGCCATCGCCACTAGGGTGGAGGCCAGCCCTACTACGGTGGAGGCCATTGCTACTAGGGTGGAGGCCATCGCTACTAGGGTGG